TTTATATTATTATAATGCGCTGCAGACTAAGTTGGCGCTATATAAATGCCAATAATAGTAATAATGGTGCATTTGAGGGACACAGAGTAAAATGAATATACCAAGTGTAGTATCATCTCTCACAGCTCATCTACAGCTAAAACTAAATGTATAGTCATTTGCAGTGACAGGTAGCTGAGCAGACAGACTATTACCCTCCAATGTGTTGATGTGTCAGAGTGCATTTGTCAACGCATTTTGTGTCCCGCCATGCAGTTTTTAAAGTGAACATCTACAGTTAACAGCAATTTGCATTCAATGGTTTAAAACAAATTTAACTGAAACAAAACATTAATATCATGACAACCCCTATTGGTTTTTTGTTTGTTTGTTTTTTTACAAACAGCAGTATATTTACACTAAAAATAATCCTTCATCTTAATGCTGGCATATAAATGATTCTAAATATATCACAAGTGTCATAAATAATTTAGCAGCAAGTTATTAATATGTATATCACATAAAGTTATAATAACATCTTTGTCCTCTTTTTCATTAAAGGTCCTGCATTTTCTGATTATCTGTAGTATCATCATGATTTAAATACACAATAGACCCTTTAGATCAGGGGTCCTCAAACTACGGCCCCCCAGATGTTGCTGAACTACAACTCCCATGATTCTCTGGCTTTCTATGTAATTCAAAGAATCATGGGAGTTGTAGTTCAGTAACATCTGGGGGGCCGGAGTTTGAGGACCCCTGCTCTAGATATACCAACCTTTTTTTCTGAAGTGAGAATTGTGAGGAATCCAAAGATAATTTTGATTTTAGAACAAAAAGCATAGCGGACAGAGAATTTTTCAAAATCAGCTGTTTTGACCATAAAGGGATACTATAAGGTCCTAGACTTCTTCATCTCAGTGAAGGGGTTTTGCTGCAGTGCACCTGTCATTTTGCTCCCACAATGTAAAACATGCTGATTATGTGGCAAGGGTAAACACACTTTCAGTGGTTGTAACTCTGACAGTCCCTAGATGCTGCTTCTACATCCAGAACAGAGTTTGACTCAGTTCCTGACATTTGACGCCCCCAGATGTTGAATGTTCAATTGAATCTTCTGTATTCAATGCTTCTCTTTGAGAAGCATTTAGTTGGAGGAAAATGTCAAATGCCGTGCAAGAGCCATAGGCCCAATAACACATCTCAAAGAGAAGCGTTTAATTGGATGAAGAGAAGACGTTATTGTGATGCAAGAATAAGCGCTTCAGGCTGTGGATCTTGATGCTGAATTCAAAGTAAGTTTTAATATAAAATTGTGATGTAATTGACCCAAAAAGAGAGGCTCATTAATCTAACTGAAAACACCAATACACATTGAATGTTAAAAATATTTTTTATTACTAGTTTCCATTTAAATTTGAAATTGACTTTGAATTCCCAGCAATTCTCACTTTAGTAATGTTAATTAAATTAATGTTAATTAAAACACAATAATATGATGATAGAAATATATATATTTTTTTTATTTACTTGCCCTGTGTTTTAAGTAGCATTGTGTTTTAAGGAGAAGATCCTTATAATTAATGTAAGGAGTTATCATCAAACAATCAACATTTAAATAAGTTGAGTTTTATAATTTACTGATAATAATACTCATGGTTAGCTTGAATTATTCCTTTAAACTGCTAAATCATTAAAAAATAGTAATATTAAAGGAACACTACAGCCATTTGATATGTGCATTCACTGCAATTGCTATGTATGCAGCAATTTTATCTGGACATGACTTGGAGACTATTATGACTGATAATCTCTCAGAAGCGGAGTGAAGCACCAGCAAGACAGGACGTATCACTGGAGAAAATGTGAATAAAATTTATTTTTAAAGGTATACTATAGTGCCAGGAATACAAAGCTGTATTTCTGGCACTATCGCTCCCCCTTGCTCCCCTCTCCCTCTTGCCCCCTCCCAGTATTTACTTACCTTATCCCAGCGCCAATGTCCCTCAGCCCTGGGCCGACGCTCTGTCCCCTCCGACGTCCCACGACTGAGGGCAGACTTAAAAACACTGAGGGCAGACTTAGAGCTACAATGTAAATATTGCAGTTTCTCTAGAACTGTAATGTTTAACATTGCAGCACTAAGTGCAAAAGGGACAGTGCACACCGACCACTTCAATTAGCTGTAGTGACCTGGGTGCCTACATTGTCTCTAAGTTTTGTTGGGACTTGTCTGGCATTGATTTAGGAACACTCCAAATGGTAAAACCAAACTTTTAAATTTTTTTTTTTCTAGTCAAATGCTTTTTAATTGAACGTTTTTCAGAATATTAACAAACAAATATTTTAAATGTAAAAGTGTGTGTGGGGGGCAAGGAGGGAGGGATAAAATAAAAAGGGGTTATCAGCACATCCATCAAAATATACATAATAAAACAGTACACTTCTTGTATGCAATAACAATCTTATTGGTGATTTTATATGAACGTCATTATTTTGTATTCTGCCATAGATGATTTGATTAAAGGATATATACTATGTTGTAGATAAATAATATGACTGAAAACATCAAATGCCATTATATATAAACTATTTAAATTTCTGGAAAATACTTTTGATAACTGATATACCAGATTTCTTTATTTTTTCTTATATAACTTAAGGGAAACTTTTATATCATTCCTTTCCAAGGAAAATAGCAATCGAACAGAAATATATTGTTCTCAAGAAATGCTTAGATCATATGGTTTCCAAGGAATCAAAACAATCTTAATCTTGAGAAATTATTACCTTTCAAAATATAGAAATCCCTTCTCTAATGTCTATTTAACATAATCAACAGCTGTGCAATAATATAGATAATTCTTAGGAATAGTCCCTAGGACACCTAGGCCCCTTTTAGCCCAGATCATAATGTTTCTAATGAATCAAATAAGATCTTTGAATTAAAATATTCATTCATGAACTGATTTATTTTCCCTGAATTTCTTACAGCCTTAGTGACTGGTTAGTTGAAAACCGTGGGTCATTTGATCACTGTTCTTGTTTATACAGGTTGCCCTCAAATAATTACCGTTACTGCAATGCATCTGACCACATTACGACCACAATTATAAAAGCACATTTGCTTTCAAAAACTTCAAAACCCTTTTATTTGCCCATTTGACATAATCACCATCTGTGCAATAAATACAGATATTTCTTAGGAATAGTTCCTAGGAACATCAGGCTTTGTTGACCTATATTTTATCCTCCATGTATACACAAATTGCAAATACGTTGTTTCCCTTCTTTACTTAATATTGCATACATTTCAGTTTATCAATTGTTTTAATTTTCTCAAAACAACTTGTACAAACAAATCAAGGTCAAGTTTATTATTTAAAAAAAGAAACAAATAATGATTGCCTTATAATGATTAATTAGAGGTGATACACAAGATAAACAGATTGATAGATAGCTAGAAAGATAGATATGTAGATAGACAGATACAATCTTGTTGTTCCTGTCAAAAATTTTAACAGTTTTTCTTAATTGTTAGATTGTTAGCTTCTCAACAATCTTTTGTTCCTGTCAAAAATTGTAATAGTTTTTCTCAATTGTTTTTAAATCCCCCATATTTATATTATTGTTAGGCGCTGCAGCATAAGTAGGCGCTATATAAATGCTTATAATAGTAATAAAGGTGCATTTGAGTAACACCAAGAGTAAAGTGGATACCGTGTGCAGTATCATCTCTCACAGCTCCCCTACTGCTGAAACTAACCTAAGAGTCCTTTGCAGTGACAGGAAGCTGAGCAGTAGGGATGTGCATGGGCACAAAAATTTGGTTTGGTTTGGAAATTCGGGTAAGTAAAAAAATGTGTCTTCTTTCAGCAATTCGGACCAATGGCATTTGGTTCGGCACTTCAAAAATTCGGGAGTTCAGCAATTCGGTAGTTCGGCAATTTGGCACTTTGGTAATTTGGAACTTCGACACTTGGGCAATTCGTAACTTCGGAATTTCGGGCAATTCGGACATTCGGGTACTTCTGAAGTGTCGAATTGCCGAGGTCCCGAAGTTCCGAAATTACCAAATTTCCAAAGTGTCAAAGTGCCGAAGTTCCGAAGTGCAGAAGTTGCCGAAATTCCAAAGTGTCAAAGTGTCGAAGTGCCAAAGTGTCGAAGTGCCGAAGTGCCGAACTTCCGAAGCACAGTATTGCCTAAGTACTGATATACTTACCCAGTGAAAGAAGAAGAATGTTACATTGTATATAATTTTAAATAAAAAGTATACAAAAATAGCCAGGATTCAGCTGTAAGCGTTTGCAACATTTACAACAATCAAGTAACACACATTCATGTAATGAAGGTAATGACAGGAATGAATAAGTAGATAACTCCCTAATTCCCATGGTATTAGGGAGCTATCTACTAAAAGGCTGAAAGATTACTTAGTATTAGGAAATTATGCCCCTACTTGCTATACCGTGAGTGGGGGCATGTCTATTAACAGCAAGCAGCCTGTGGCTGCTCACTGTTAAAAAAAGAAAAAAAAAAGAACCCCCCACCCGAGCCCCCACCCGTGACGCGCGAGTGGGGGCTTTTAAACTAATTTTCCCACGCTGTGTAATTTGACTCATAACTCTCTGATTGGTTACTTAATCCACCAATCAGAGTGTTATGAGTTAAATTACACAGTGTGGGAAAAGTCCACCAATTCCACCAATCAGAGTGCTTTATAAGCCTTCCCCCGCTCTGCAGAGCTCAGTCTGCGCAAAGCCCTCCATGGGTGAAGATCCACCCCCCCCCTTATTAGTATTTAGGGCCCCAAACCCACCGCTCAGGGGTGGGGGTTAGGGTGGAAAGACCTTAGGTCCCCCCCTTATTAGTATTTAGGGCCCCCACCCCTGAGTGGTGGGGTGGGGGTCATGGGGGAGGATAACTTAGGGAGTTATCTACCAAAAGGCTGAAAGATCTAAATTGGTATTTCAGCCAAATTTACTAATACTAAGTAAAAATTATCTATTAAACAGTGAGCAGCCTGAGGCCAGGGGGCCAGGGGCCAGGGGGGAGGACCTTAGGTCCCCCCCTTATTAGGTCCTCCCCCCTGGCCCCTGGCCCCCTGGCCATCATATTAAGGCCCCAGGCTCATTAAGTTGCGCGCTGGGGTGCAGAGAGGAGACAGTAGAGCTCCCCCATGGCCGCAAGCACAGCTCCCCATGCGGCTGCCTGCACACCCAGCTGTCTGCCCTGCACAACCCCCTGACCGGTCGCCCACAGGTAGCAATAATGTGTGTCAGTCTGTCAGTGTGAGTGTATGTGTGTGTGTGTCTGTCTGTCATGGTGGGTGTGTCTGTCTGTGTCATGGTGTGTGTGTCTAACATGGTGTGTGTCTGTCTGTCATAGTGTGTGTGTGGGTGTATGTGTCATGGTGTGTGTCTGTCTGTCATGGTGTGTGTGGATGTCTGTGTCATGGTGTGTGTCTGTCTGTCATGGTGTGTGTGTGTGTGTGTCATGGTGTGTGTGTCATGCAGGGCCGGACTGGCCCACCGGGATACCGGGAAATTTCCCGGTGGGCCGCGGCACCTGGGGGCCGGCCGCGTTCCTGGGCCGGCCCTTTAAATACTGCAGCTGCCGCTCAGGCGGCTGCAGCTGCTCCTGTCCTCCCTTGCCCTCCCCTCCCCTGTAGCGTGGCCGAGCTGCAATCCGGTCCGCGGTGGCCGGCCGGAGTGATAGGAAGGTGCACACTGAGTGTGCACTTCCTGTCAGTCCGGCCGGTTACAGGAAACAGAAACTCCGCG